GGCACCATTCTGGGCCAGGCGCACCTGGTCCCAGCCGGTGACCGGCGATGGCTGGTGAATAGTAGAATCGATTTGAGGACGTTCAATGAGATCTATTGAGATCGCATCCGAGGGAATGAATGGAGGCCCTGTGGTGTATCCTGCGTCGCAAGGCAGGATACACCACAGGGCCAGCAGGGAGCATCGAAATCCCTACCATTGCGTAGTAACTCAAACTGTTGGTAGAAATAATTGCGTAATAGTAGAGTAAAAATTAATGATACAAGATTCAAGTTGAACGAGATTGTGTTCAGAACCAGAGAACGTGTACTAGTAAACCAAGAACAGGGTGTGATGATGTGCGACGTGGGCCTTAGTCGGAGCTGGCATCAGCTTGGAGACAGGAGAAGATGTGGACATCGCGATGGGAGCTCGGGCGTCAAAACTTTCATTTCGGCATCAGAAAGGTGACGCCGTAGACTCGGACGTGCTGACCGGGGGTAAACATGGAGGAAACGAGAACCGAGAGGTGGCCGTCAGAGATGAAGAATGCCGGGCCCAGGAATCAAATTGGTAGTTAACGGATTGCGGTAACGGCGGCTGGAAACTAGCAATCAGGAAAGGACCGAGAACAGAGCATCAGGATGCGGAGAAAGCTTGATCTCGCAGTTGACCTCGGGTCGCGGCGTCAGGACGACGACAAGATTGGATCAGAAACAGGACGCGGTCCGGATGTATGGGCGGACGGCGCCTGCTTGGAGACGGAGGGAATCGACAGGGTAAAAAGGGGGACGCAGATGACGCAGGGGGGCGTTGCGCCGGAGTAGTGGACCCACGGGATGCAGGGGACGCAGGGGACGCAGCCATTCCCGACCAGCCCCGCTCCTTATCCACAACCAGGAGGAATGGGAAGTGGAGGAGATACTTCACCACAGAAAGCGCTATGGAACCGATCAGTTCCTAATGAAATGGAAAGGCTCTCCAGACTCCGAGAATAGCTGGGAGCCAGTGGAAGGAATTGAGAATGCGATGACCCTTGTGGATGAGTGGTGGGAAGCCAACATGCCCGGAGAATGTCTACCCCCCACTATTAACCACATAACAATCGCTTGGTCACCTACCTTACCCACCACACAACGAATACGCGAAGACCACCCTACCAGACCAGATTTCTGGGCTCCTCATGACGCAAACGAGTTTGAAAGCAGCAGTGACGAAGACCAAACAATGGCAGATGTTATAGATACCTTTATCTAACGGCACACTCCCTATCTGAATATCTTAAAGATGGAAAACTATGAGGAACTGAATGTGAGGCTACGCCATCAGCTTGTGGGACTGTTGGTGGACCGCGGTGCTATCCTACTGGAAAACTACTTTGATACCCTCTTGGTTGATTACTGCCCGAATTGCGAAGACCTACTGGTGGAAGTATGGGAAAGAGTGGCAGGTATCCGCGATTACTGTGACTTTCATTTCCTTTATTCAAATTGTTTCTTGCAATTTCAGACATGTGTATTTTGTATTGGCGATGGAGATTGGATGCTAGCTGATGAGGAATATGGCGAAGATTTTTATGAGGATTTTGATTTTCAAGATTACTGATTTGTTTAGGTAAACAGATGTTTTGTTTTGGGGAATATAACCAGAACTAGAGTTCAGTCCATTCGGTTCAAGGATTTGTTTTATGTTTTGTTTTACTTGTGGTTTCGAGTATCCTTTGATACTCAGTTTGTTTTACTTGTAGTTTCGAGTATCCTTTGATACTCAGTTATTTTATGGTTTGTTTAAGGATGATTTGGAAATCCGTCCATGCAGGACATGGACGAAGTTTGTATTTAAAGACCGCTGATTCCCTCAGAGGAATGGCAGACTTCGGCAGACAGAGTATTTCTAATATACTTGGTTGAACGGTTACCTCTTCGAGTCCCTATTCTTTATATCTTTCTCTCGGAGCCTCCCTTAGCACAGTACGCCCATAGGTTGTAGATCAACTTGTGCGCTACTCCTATTGTACCCGGAAGCGTAATTAGCACCCCGGTGCGAACACGTTACAATTAGGCACTCTACCTGCCCCCTGGTCTTCAGACACTAACAGAAAAAAAAAATAAGAAACACCTACACCCAAAATAGCTTGCATCGCTGTAATCAACTGCAATGTATACTCTCCACTCTCGTACTATCTCGTACTATCCATACCATACCATACCATAACATCATTTATGGGGAAGTGGCTCAGGACCGGAATCCGGCTCAGTCCTGATGGCGCAATCTGGATCATCAAATAAGGGGGTCTTCGCCCCTCTCTTGATCTGGCAACTGTGAAATTGAAATATTGTATACATTCCTAGCACTCAGAGTTATCATCTGTGCGCTGAAGACCAAATCAATAATCCAATTGGTTCTATTCCATCATAATTATTACAAATTAGCGGTTTCCCATCACCAAGATTTCATTTCTTACCACCCCCTCTCTATAGTCACTCAAGGCATCCCTATCCAGTTCTAACGCCTCCATTTCCTTCCAAAGATCCTCTCCCTCATCCTGCACAATAGGTTCCACCATTGCTGAAGGTGATATTAGGATACTATGTCTAGTTGTACAGGTTGTCGGCTTTACTCGTGGTATTGGCTTTGGTCGTATACTATCCTGTGACTGTGACAACTGTGACAGCTGCTTTGCCCACCGGGATGCATTGGCTGCATCTACTCTCTCCCGCTCATCATGTAACATTATCACAGTCTCTGAAGTAACAACTGTTGCCTCCGTCAGCTTCCGGCAGTCCGATGTCTTGCCCTTTTTTTCTTTTCTCATGAGTTGTCTGTATTGTCTGTAAGCCTCCTCTTCAACCACCTTGTCAGCAATGGTCTGTTGAAACCCTTCCAAAATGTCCAACAGGATAGCTTTTAATTTTTGAGAGGATAGAGTAGTATGGGTTACAAGTGAAACCGCTTGCCTGGTTGCCCTACTGACTGCCCATGGTGTTTTTGGAATCTGGAGAGCCGCATTGCCCATATCCTTTGATGAGACATTTTCGTTCTTCCGCTTTACTGCTCCCAAAACCCGACCTGGATTAAATAGCAGTATACTAACTGCCTCCCAGGAACTGTGAATATTTGTAGTGGTAAAGGCAAGTCTCTGTGCTGGCATCAAGATCCTGCAGTATATGAAATTAGTTTTAATCAGCTAAGGTAATTCCATTGAGGAGAAAATAGCTAAGACAAGTACATACGGTAAAAACTCTCCCTTATTCATTCCCCCATGCCCCTTGCAAACAAAGTCATCTAGGCCATTTCCATAATATTTTTGCAAAGGACTAAATAACCCAACATATAGAGGCTGTAAGAGATGTGTGGAGTGGGCAGGTAGGCAAAATGGGATTATGTTGACTTTAAGACAATAATCAAAAAACTCCCAATTGAAATGTGATGTGTGTCCATCGAGTATCAACAGCCGATGTGCATTTCCAGCACTATATAGAGTTAGTAATATTATAAATAAACTCTTAGAAACTCTTTAGCTTGTATTAAAATGTATCTCTCGCTTGTTTCTACATCAAAAACTTCTCTCAACCAGCGTAATCCTAACTTTTCATTGCTTCAACCTTTTTTAGATACTCTGAAGACAGCGAGATCTTTTTTTTCAGGTTTGCATACTATCCCATATAATGGGCTTGACCTTTATTAATAATCATAGGCCTCAAAACTGTCCCATCACTGGAAATGGTTTCAATCACCATAACCTACTCACGCGAGCCATCTTGTACTAGATGTGCTGTACGCTGATCCTTTCTGCAGATAACTTTACATCATGAGGCCACACCCATCATGAATCCTTTCTCATCCACATTGTATATAGTGGAAGATAAGATTTTGTGCAGTTTAATAAGCTTTTGAAGCTAGATCTATAATTAAAACTCTATATTGTCAATTGTAGGGAATAGTTACAATACCTTATTAAAGTAGTCTTTCAAGACTCGCGGATCACTAGCAAGTGCACGCTGGCGATCCAGTCGCGTACTTAGCTTGGATGCTAACATAGGATGACGTTTGAGAAACTGTGTCATCCAATGCTGACCTAAAGTGTGGTCTTTAGCTTGGCATGCAACAATCGCCTACGCCATACTCTTTACTACTACAGACAATCTTGCTGGATGCCCCCACTCGTCCAGCTGCTCACACCATCACACAAGAGAATGCTCTTCATATTCAGTTAAAAGCTGCATCTTACCATGTCCGCAGATTCTAGATTGCCGACCATTCAACCTTCCTCGCAAGATAGAGTATGCTATACCATACTTCTCGGCTGTTGATTTAATCGAAGCGTTATCGCATTGTTGGAAGTGTTTAATGGCGAGCTGGATAAGTGCTTCCTTTTCATCCTTCTTTTGTATCTTGATCCGGGGCATTGTAGAAAGTTTGAAGTCATTTAGGTAAAATACGGGAGCAGTAGAATAGTTTTGTTGATGAGCGGGGTATGTCATGTGGGTTCTCTTGGCGCCGAGCCGGATCCCCGTCCCGAGCCGCTTCACCGTAAATCACGTTACCATCCCCTCCCATCCCCAAACTAACAAACCATTGAAAACCAAAAAAATAAAAATAAAATATAGAGCTCACCCCTCCACCTCGATACCTTCCCTCAATACCCCACCTATCGACGCTAAAATACCGCTTCCTGATGTATGCCACGCTGGACTTCTTCCAGTCCCACTTACCGCTCAAGTCCAACGGCGACAGCGACTTTGGCCGTCTATACATCATAGAGGAGGAGCTAGCCGCATAAGGGTGGTTGACGAATATGGGTGTTAAGATAGTAGTTATGGTGGATTTAGATCTGCCCGCCGCTTGCGGGTTAAGGATGGGAAGTTGGGGGGGGGGGTGGTTTTTGCTTGATTGGTCGAGTGGAGTGGAGTGGAGTGGGGTGGAGGAGGGGCTAATGATGGGTGGGTGGAAATATCATAGGTTTTTCAAGCGTTGCAGACAGCGTATATTCGGCTCGTTTGTACTCAGTTTTATAAGTTTGGTGCTAGCAAGGTTGCAGGGAGGGATTATTACCAGTAATAGGTTTGTGGAGGGGGTTAGGAGGATTGGCGAAGTGTAGGTACAGGGTTCTGGACCGGGAGGGTCTGTTGCTTGAGTAAGATTTTCGCATGGCAATTAGTGGTGGGCTATGAAGTTTCCCACTTTGTTTTAGATATCCTTGGTAAAAAGCTTTCTGTCCTTTTTTTTGGGGGGGGGGGAATGTTATATAAGTTGGTTTCAACTAATGTTTCTATACCCCAGTACAATAATACGCTCATCACTCGGTGGACGACAACTAGCTATGGAATTTCAAAGATTCAGAATGCACATAACATGACTATATATAAAGATCTATAGTATATCATAGTGTGTATGATTGATTGTTAATATATCCCTACGGCAGCCAAAATACCGTATGATACTGTACATTATGCCATCGCACTGCACAAAAACATCATTGATATTGAGCGTGGGGAGGCAGGTGGGCGGGCGGGCCAGACTTGGCCTTCAGGTGGTCATATATGACCAATAAGGCAGCTCCGGCGAGATCCGCGACGATTATACTAATTTTCTTAGAATGTGCCTCCAAGCATTCTAAACAATATGAGATGACCGAATTAGTAAGTGGTATCCTTGAGAGAATCTGAATATGTTAAAACAGACCTCTGATTGCAATGACAAGAGCCATGATAAATGGCGGTAGACTTTTTAAGATAAAATTAGGAAAGCGTGTATAGGGGGTTTCCAAGTTAAGGCTTCGAACGCGAGAGGATGAGCTTCTCAAAATAACTCTTCGAAACCAAGAGTAGTAACTTTTCGAGATAAAACAAGCAAACTAAGGGAGGGGCTTGTCAATAAATCACTTTGAAAGACAGGGCAGCCAATGACTATTGTGTGAATGCAGAGGGAAAGATCTCTTTTATTTATATCCCTATTATATGCCTTTTGACGATCCGTAACTATATACGATAGATAAATATATAGAGTGCAGTTTAGATAGAAGAAAAGTAGTGTAGAATAGGGCAAGAATTCCTAAGGCGGCTGTGAGCAATTATGTGAATACCGTACCGTCCTGCATCTATGATAGGGGGCCTGTTACCATAAATTATATTCCTTCACGAATAGTATGATACCATACTTATCAGATATCCACTAACCACCCTACGGTAGACATGTATGGAGAGCGTGGGGAACCCAACAAACAAACCCTCCATATTACTCATCATCCCCACCATCCTCACGACCAATCCGATAGCAATAACATAGCAGTGGGAAAACCACCAAAGATATCCATCCAGACGCTGCGGGACTCTCCCAGTAGAAGCTACATTAACACCGCCAAATGGCCAACACCCAAATAGTACACTTCACGAGATCGATGGATGCTTGTTGAAAGCCTACTCAGCAATAACAGAGCTCTTTTATATGATAAGCATGTATTGAGGGAAAGCAAGAGAGAGTCTTTCAATTCCCATACCGGGACAACCTCATCCAAGCTGAAAGAGGAGGGACCAAAGTGCCCAGCCACCGTGCAGTTTCATCTGCTAGTGAATTAGAGGAGTGGCGGAGGAGATGTGGAATGGAGGGGGTTTTGTTTTTTGTGACGGTAGAATATCAGCTAGGTTGGAAGTAATGCGGCGCTGACGATAGGCTTCTATGTGAATCAAGTTACCAGTATCGTAGTGCCTGTATACTGTAGACGTGCCGCATGCAATCCGGATACCCACCACTCCAGAAGGCTTGTGCAGAAGGTGAATCGAATAGTAGAAGGATCTGTAACTGTGATATTTACTCGCATCCCCCTGCGAATAGACAAACCAGCTCGCCCGCTTAGCATTCGCGCTCATTTGGGAAAGCATCCATAATCACACATATGAAATCTGTATTCCGAAGTCCTGCATGACCACTCGGCTACCATGGGAAGGCACTGTATCTGTTGCCAGCCACCCCAGCCGTGTCCTGTGCCCGGCCGTGATTCACGATATTCACAGAAGTTTTCTTTGTACTTCCCCTATCTACTGTCCATCAAGTCCTTGATCTCACCCTCCCCCCGCTCCGACCCTTCAAATGCAATTACTCAGATGTACTGTTGTTGGAGGTCACTGGAGAAAGAGAGAATGAAGCCTGATTGACGACTCTAGGTTGCCTTTTTTCATCCACAACTCGAGAAAATGTAGAAATGCAGAAGAAAAAAATCAAAGAAAGCCAAGGTTGACCTCATTGGAAAAGGCTAGGAAAGAAGGAAGGCGGGGGAGAAGACGAAGAACGATAAGTGATGAGAGAAGGAATACCATAGGCATGGTTGTGAGGTCAGGCATGAATGGTGAAGAGATGAGAAAAGTCGGTGCGTCAAAGTCCAACGACGAAAGGAGCAGTGAAGAGAAAGACCAGCAGCGGAGAACCCAATTGCGAAATAAGACTATACTAATCGAGGAACAAGATTACTGGTCTATACAGCGAATAAATGACAAATCCAACAAGTTCCGGATATGCCGATATGTGAATCCCCATAGTACCCCACTCCACACTCTTCCCAGTTCTGCACAAGCCTATTCAGCAAGATCACAAAACATCACGGGAGAGAGGCAAACTCCTATTTGCCAAGTCACTCTCATGAAGATACTGCATCAGGTGGACGGCGTGAGGCTCGTTTTGGTTGAACACGGGCTTGTGTGGAAAAAGCTTCAGGAGAGAGAAACCCCACGCTAACATCCTACCCCCTAGTGGAACATCACCAAAGTTGCTATCTCAAGCAAGCCAGCCTCACCCTCAACACCACTTCCCCGCGCGCTCTTCCAGAGCACTAGTACCACTAGCATACCAATATGCATCCCCCGCCCTCACAATTGCTGGACGGGTGATAGAAGTGACGGTGGTTGAGTTCTGTGTCTATCAGCGAGAGGATGGATGGGAGGAAAGGTGTGGGATGGAAGCGTTTCGTGATGGAAAATATCATAGTAGATTCGGGAATAGTGGGGTGGTGGTACCTTTCCATCAACGACTACTCGACTTTTTTGAACAATACTGTTTCTCCCATCGACCCTTGAATCACCATCAATGTTGAAGAAAAACAAGTAGAGAAATAGGAGTATTCGAGTATAAAAGAATGGTAGTAGATGGATCGATCAGTTTGGGATAGGCAATTCACTTGGACAGAATAAAATGGTTCGAAGTTTGCATGATCATTTCTAACTAGCTCACCAGGTCCCTTTTCATAAGACTTGCCTCTTCCTATGCCGTGCCTGTGTGGGTGAAAAGTTTTCACCTCCATCAAGGGGGAAAAAAATTTTCCCTCAATGAAACGAATGAAACGAGAAGGAAACCTGAAGGAAACAAGAAAGAAATTTCCAGCTGCAGGGGGATAAGGGATCAAACAGCGGAAAGATGAAATGAATGGAGGTATCATACGCAGGGGACAATATTCCAACAAATGTCTGCTACGAACAACACTTTTTAGAGCTAGGTAAATAATTTACAAAAATTGGGAAGCCCCATATATACACCCCACCCAACCAACGGCCTCCACTCCGGATATGAAAATATGGTTACGTCACGACCGCAAAACTGCGATTGCACCCCCCTTCGTCGCCTCCTACTCCTTTTTCCACATTTGCATCTCCAGTTGCTTCCTTTCCCTCCTACTTCTATGCATCCTAAACACTTCTTCGTGCCTCTCCCTGGCCTCACTCTCCACCATTGCCTTCTCGTGAAACCTCCTTTCCTTCTCCTTGTACGCCAGAGCCATTTCAGCGTGCCTCTCCCTGGATTCCCGCTTCTTCTCAAGCCTGGCGGCCTTCTTCTCCTCCTTCGTCAGCTTCTTCTGAGCCTCCGGGAACTAGATCGTCTTATCCTTGACAATAGCCCTCACTCCATCACCATGGGGGTCTTTGATGGCAATCAACTTTGACTTGGTCTTGTTTTTGTCAACGCCAATCTTCATCTTCCGCCTTGAGAGTGTTTTTTGCTCCAAGCGCCCAGAGATCTCCCCACCTGCCAGAGATCTTCCTCGCCTCTCTCTGTACTCTAATGTTCCGAGGCTTTTGGGAATAACCCAGCGTTCGATGGAGCCTGTCGGAGTGCATACGTCGAGTATGACGTGCCTGTGACATTTGATGGGTCGGAGGATTATTCGTGGGAGGGATATACTATAATTGCGGAGTTGTGGCATGGTGTACTGTACAGGCTTTGAAGTGGCCTACCGGGTTCGCCGTCGACAGGGATTATGCCAAAGTCGTCCATTGTTGGGTTGATCAGGCTTGTTTTTTGTGTGAGTGAGGTGGTCCACGCTATGATGGAAGGTGACGTATGAGTACTCGAGGTCCTCGCGGTTTTTGGATGACTCCCACATGAGCTTCTGCAGATAGCCAGGGCTCTCATCGCACTGTGAGAAACCGCAGTAGTCTTTGCAGCGGGTGCCGTCCGTAGGGCCGGAGACAAACATCGGGCATTGTTCTTGGTTCATACAAAGAGCGATTATAGCTTCGGTCCCCTTTTCGATAGGGGATTGAAAAGCTTCCCCGACATCCTTGATGTAGCCCTGTCGTATGGTGGAGCAGGTGCTGGCGATGGTCTCAATGCCCATTGGCGTGCCTTTTTCGATTATCGAAAGGACGCCACCATTCAGATTCAGGTGTGACCAGAGCTGTTCACTGGCTTGGCGGCGGTAAAGTGACTTCACTATTGGGAGGATCCTGTTTGTATTATAGCAATGATCAGATCGCAGAGTTTTCTTGGCTAAGCCCTTCTTCTTTCAGAATATCCCTTGTTGCCTGATAAATGCCCTCCCAACTCCTAGATCTCCATGGGAAAACAAGACTACAAGACCACTTTCTTAGCCACTCCGGTTGTGCCCACCTCTGAATTCTTCAATTTGAATGTGCTATTCTCCCCCCTTGTTGATGCCACGCTCTCGAATATCCCAATGCCGTAGATCGAGGTCCAGGGGCGATAGTCAGGTCATAGTCAGGCACAGTTCCTTGGCAGTAGTGCACCGGTAGTTTGAAGCCTTGTCATACTCATTCGTCTGAAGGCGGTTGGCGCTATGATTAGTGAGATATCGAGACATTCTCTACTCGCCACTACGTGGGCAATTGTGGCTAGTTTTTTTTTTTAAATTATTCTCAGTTAAGCAATTTCTAGGACACAGTCAGAAAAGAGTCCAAAATAGGCCTGGTTTTGGCTATAAAGGGTTAAGTGAAGGTGTTTTACCGCGAATTTGAGACCGATTACAAAGAAAACGCTTGGTTCAACCTACTGGGAGCAGGCGCATAAAACCAGTTAATGCGGTATTACAGTGCCCAGGGTACTGCAGGGTAGCGCTGTGGGGCACTGCCGTGATGAGGTGTTGAGGGGAGAGTCCTTCCTTGTTCATGCTATCGGTGTGGTGTTGCTAGTGGGTGTCCTACGGTACTCAGGACCAAGACCTATTGCCCACCGCATGCAAGTTGTCAACGCAATTGGCTGTGATGTACAGTACCCGCATAGCGGTAGTATGACACCTGGCAGGCTCTGATCTAGTTCGTCGAGAGTACGTATGCCGAATACGAGGTGTGCAATTGGATACCGGTCTCGGTAGCCGAAGGAGGGCACCACAACTGCGCGCCCCCCGCGAAAAACACCTGTTGAACTCTAGTATATATACCACCCTACTCGAGTATTCTCCTCTCCTCTTTTCCCTCGCTCCCAGTGTTCCCAACGGGCCAGGTAGGCCAGGCTGAACCGAAGCCGGGCCCGGCCCGCCACAACCACGGGGGATTTAGCCCGGCCGGAGCTGATAGGCCGGCCCAGCCTATAGCCCAACCTATATGGCCTAGCCAAGCCGGGCCTAGCCTATGAATACGGGCCTGCAACCCCCTCAGATCCTTGGTTTCCGCTCGGCTCATCCCCCATTCCACTAAACTAGTCCGAGTTACTCCCGTGAGAACCGTAAGTTACATAGTCCCTACACAAATTCCACGCGCTGGTGTTAACAGAATAGAACGAGTATCAGTAATATCACTAATAGTATCAGGCACTGATCCTACGTGCGGGTAGTGATATGGATTTGCTCGTGGTTGATGAAAACCCCCGAGGTCTAATAGGACTTGGTCAACCATAGCGGGCGCACTCACTGATGCATTCCTGCCGAAGAAACTGAATCGGAAGGAGGGATTGTGAGATAGGACTGCGTTTGAGAATCTGGAGGTATATTTCCTGGACTTCTTTGAGCTGGTTGTGGGACGGTAAAGTTATGAGGAATCGAGCCACTCTTAAAACAATCAGCTCTAAAAATCCCACTTGCAGGCCTGATAGGCTTCGGCAGGCCGGTTGAGTTCGGCCTATATCCGCCTAGGCTCATCGTCAGAGCGGCCTGCCTTGGCCCAGCCTACGGCCTATAGGCCGGCCTATCACTGGCCTAGCCCGTTGGGAACACTGCTCACTCCTACAAACACATCCACCCGACCTCATTATCCTATTCCCTTTGTGGCTCTCCTTTACATGACTACCGGGAGATTTATTTTTCGAACCAGGGCAGGTGCCTGGATACGTGCCTTCCGCCCCCCTGTTCACTATCGGATGCCTCATCGGATGCCTTATCAATCAATTGCAAACTCTGGTACCCCCGTGAGTAATGCTCGGGTGGTACTTAATCCTCCCCATCATTCATGATTCAACTGACGATTACTGTGATAGTGGGACCGCATTTCTGCAATAGATCTGCACCTTACAAATCTGACAAAAGTTTCTTTCCTCCATGTTTGGTCCAGTCCACAGCCTGCTTACTCTGGTGATAGGAGGTTAGAGAACCTGGCACCACAGTTAGAGACCTCAGTACCAGAGTTGCCGTAGGCTTGGCCAAGATTGATGGAAAGTTTACCCTTGTGGAGAGTAAACTGTCCGGCCTCCAGTGGCAAATTGGATTGATCGGAACAGGGTTAGGTGGCTTTATCACTGTAAGTTATCCGTAGTTTCAAATTCTCACTTTCTAACAATAGCTTATAGCTTGGCGACTACCTTGGGAAAGAGATTACCGTATTTCTCGAGATATGGTTTCGTGGTATATGGTTGAAGAAGGGAAGAATGTTAACCATGTGGCATAGGAAAATGCAACAGTGACTCTGTAGCAACAACTATGGCTGTATAACAAGGTTGCCAAGCCCACCCATGATGGACTATGGATAGTTATTAGGGACTTTGTGAGAAGACTCTGGATGTGGGTCAAACTTGAACAGAGTTCTGGGCCAATGAGATCGCTAGAATTTGACTCTAGATGCAAAATCGCAAAGTCACTATTAAGGATGAAATGCATAAAAGGAGCCATGATAATATTATTATTAATTTAATGCTAGCTGACTGCCTTTGCCACTTTTGCTTGTTGATTCTCACCGTCATGAATTTATTAACAAATATTGCTATATGTGTTGTGTCACTTGTATTATTTTTACTGTTATCCATATTAGCCCATTCATATTATCTCCATTTTACGTTCTATATCAGCAGATTAGTCATCATTTGATGTTGCATTTGAATGCCAAGACTCTGAATCTTACACCACAATCTTGAATGTTTAAATTCAGTATACCATTCCTTCTGCCTGCTTTCGTGGAGTAAGAAAACGGTACTTTTTTTCTGCTCCATTTGGTCTATATTTCTACGGTTTCTTTATATTAATTGGAATACTATTGGGTGTGTTATATTACAACGAATCGATCTCAGCTTTCACAAACTCCTCTTAGTCCATCCCTTCCCAACATGGTCCGTTTCTCAGGAGTTCTAAATGACCCACGTTCTACTATATGACTTATCAGAAAGTGATGCCCTCTCCGTGCTCTACTCCTCAAGAGGTAATCCTATCAATCCTAAACCCAATTTCAGGCAACGATTATGTAAAGATGACTTACTGTATTGGTATCTCAGGCTTGTACTACTTAATGGTTTTCCACATCATTCTAGCATAATTTTCGAGATCCTGTCTAGTAAAAATGATATCGCCTTCACCCTCGTGAGGACCTGGCGGGCGAAGGAAGAGTTTAGAAAAGTCGAACCTTAAGGGAGCTCCAGTAACAACAGGTGCTAGGGCGGCGGATGGAGGAGCAACGGGTGCTGGAACCGGGAGGGGAATAACAGGTGCTGGAATTGGTGCAGGACCAGCGGGTGCGGGAATAACGGGTGCTTGGACAGGTGGTGGAATAACGGGTGCTGGAACCGAGAGGGGAATAACGGGTGCTTGAACAGGTGCGGCGATAGCAGGTACCGGAACAACGGGTCCAACGATGTTGACCAGGCGGGTTCTTTTTGGTCTGGTCGCAGGGGGATTGGGGTGGGCGAGGGTAGCCGGGCACTGCACGGTGGCCATTTCCCATTGCTCTAGAGTGATTCTTCGGGCCTGTTTGTTGACAGAAATGAGGAGAACAATTCCTACCTCTCCCGCAGAATTTTCCAGCCACCAGTGACCATCGACCCTCAATCGTTTAACGGATTCTGAAACTCCGCACTCGAAGACAAGGGTGGGCCAATGAGTATCGTGAGGGCGAAGTGTGACAGGTTTGAATGCTGAATCTGCTTCTTTTCGGCTTGCTACTCCTTCTAGCCTGCCGCCACCTATGTCAAAAAGCTCGACATCCTCTATCCCCATGGCAATCGCTTTGCGGATCAACATTCTCGCAAACATCCGGTGGGATACTTCATGAAGTATACCCGGCATGATTTTAACAACCAATACCTGGTCCTCATTGAAGTACATACACCGGAGTCCTTTGTGGTAGGTGTTTCGAAGACGGTCGATCGCCATCAGGTCGTGCTGCGTCACCGAGGAAAAGACCACATACTGACCAGCCTTATCCAAACGCAATTTGTCGGCTTGCGACTCAACCGCCTGCGCGAATGCATCGAGCCCACAATATCCCTGGTATCCTATCTCTTCCAACCAGTGTTCGCAAGCGGCCAGTCCGGCCAGACTTGAGGCCCAGGGCGGCCGGCCTGGGCTTCTTTGGGGACCGGCCGGGCCGGACTGTAGGCCATAGTCCGGCTTTACTGGCATATCTGACCGGGCCTGACCGGACTGTAGATATCTGCAGCCTTTCAGATATCTGTGGGCATCTTCAGATATCTGCGGGCATCTTCAGATATCTGCAGGCATCTTCAGGTATCTGCAGGCATCTTCAGGTATCTGCAGGCATCTTCAGATACCCGCAGGCACCTCCAGGCATCCGCGGGCACCTCCAGACACCAGCGGCGCACAGACGCAATATTTAGTGGTCAGGTAGCATATGCCAAAAGCCTACCGGTGCCCCCAGGCATCCATGTGGCCTATAGGCTTTACCAAAGCCTGGCCTACATGGCCTACAAAGCCCAGGTCAGTTTCACTTTGACCTGGCCGGGCCGGACTGTGCATCTGCAGGCTATCTGCAGGCCGGCCTGGCCGCCTGCGAACGCTGCTTCCAACCCCTCGTGAAGGTAATAATCCTTGCCCCATCGAGATGGACCCTCTGGGGTTTGCGTGGCGGGCGGAGTCGGGCAGACACCTCCTTGCTGAACTGGGACCGCAGTCATTCTTTCTTAAGCTTGCCGGTAGGTATAGAACTGAGGGGGTAGCGGACGCAGCCATGACGGTAGGGCGGATCGATCTGGTTTAGTATTTGTAGAGACATGATGCGGGTTTGCCAAAGAAACCGTGGACAAATACCAAGATTGGTTGAAATTAGTTACTTGGCAACCTCGTTTCGTGGTGTAGTTGGTTGTACGAGTACTATACAGTACACCGCGAAACCACATAAAAGAAAACACTGTTTGTCCACCATTAAGCCTAAAATGGCTATCCTCGGGGGGTGTCGAGTATCTTACTGTAACTCACGCAAAGTGAGTTACTGATGAAGCCAGATACAGTAATGGTAACCAAAACTTACTCATGCAATTGCTGGAATATTACATTACCGAAACATACCTGTGCCCGCAAAGTGTTTGCTTTCTTCTCTTAGTTTCTCACAGCTATTTCTGCAAAAAAAAAAAAAAAAAGAACCCAAATCCGAAAAGTGCTTAAATTCTGGGAACAGAGTAATGTGATTTGGATGCATGAGAAGGATAATGGAGAGATAGACTATGCATTACAACTAGAACTACAGTAAAGCTATATCTCAGACACTGGCACAAACAATCCATGAAATGATTAGAGCAATACATGGTAACTTTGGGGCAGTAGGAGATAGGTAAAAGACAAAGCAGGTAACTAAAAGAAGTGCAGTCGAATTACGAGCAGGCTCCTGGATACCTAAAAGCATGGGAGTTGAAGCAAGAAACAAAGAAGAAAAACTCAACAACTATGATAGTAAAAGAAACAAAGAACAGGGAATCCTCTTCCCAGGAAGCAAGGGTCCAGGGTGAGGCAAACCAAATTATCACCTCAAACAACCTCGGTCAGGCCCTTCCCTCCATTGCTTCAGGCAACATTAAAACATTCAACAAGGATGGAATAATCCACCATCCATTTCTCCTCATTCTCACCCATACTCAGGCTGTTAAATAGTAACTCCATCTTCTCACTCAATGTGAATGTTCCATTAAAGGAGATCATTCTCCAACTATCACCCATAGTGATGAAGCCATAAACTGTCCCGCCACCATTAGAATCCTGCATATCCTTCAGGGAGAGAAACCACTGCTTTATTGCTTCCCTGAGAGTGACCTTCTTTGCCTCAACAACCAAAACATATTTCTTGTCGTTGTAAGATATGTGGTCCATCATCATGAATTCCTCCATCCCACTAGTACTAGAATCAATCAAGGTAATTTCCTTCTCTCGCACTAGGTGTAGCTCCTGCTTGGTCTCATCTTTGAACCCAGCAATAATGGAATAGATTGTAAAGACCACAATGTCATTGATGTTAGCCTCTTTAAAGTCCTCATTGGCCTCAATTAGGTATCCCCCAACTTTTATGTAATTTACCAAGTCTTGATAAATTTTCCTCTTCAACTTCAATACGATGTCCAGTATTAATATGGCATGCTTCCCTTCTAGCATCCACTTGACCAGAATTCCAGGTAGGTCTAATGCAAGACCCAACCGGTTCTCAGCCTTGGAGATTGTCATTTCTGAATAGGAAGTTGTTCACTTGAGCTTTCTCCTGTTCTTATGAGTCTCCCTGTCCACCTTGGTATTCAGAACTTCTACCCAGCCATTAGTAACTAATTAGCCCTAATGCAATACCAAAAGTTAACTATTCCATTAAACCTACCAGTCAAGTTCGCTTCCCAAATTTTCACCCTAGAATCTTGAGCGGTAGCCTCGCGCTTGTCTTTTTTCCTATCTGCCCTGTTGTGAATCATTGTCCAGAAGGTCCCTGCCCACCAATCAATGACCCATTAGCATGTGTGCTGACAACCCAATATATAGACATCCTCCAACTTACTGGTAAACTGTTTAGGTTGTTTGTTGTGATAGATTTTGTGTATGTAGTTGTCTTGCACAATAGAGGAGCAGATTGAGTTCAGGGAGAAGAAAGGTTTGGATGTGCGTGTATACTGGTTTTTACATTAACCCTAATCACTTACAGGCAGAAGTGGGCCAGGAGGGAAGTACCTCAATCCCCTCTTGGGCGATTCTCCGGGCTTCTCCAAAACCGATCGTGAATGAATGCACGAGAGTTCCACCGTGAAGGCCATGTTCGTGACCCCCGTCAGAGATGAGTGGGTCAATCCTGACTTTTAGTCGGCAGCGGATATAACAGGTCCCGATACGCTTCGGTCCATAAACTTTGGTACCGAAGATCCCCATCCAGTCGACGTTCCACTTACCAACTTCGACGGGACTCTTGCCCAAGGCCTGCATGCCACTGGCATGGAAGAAGACACCCTGTTTCGGATACTGCCTCCCGATCCCCCCTATCTGCTGGATGACCCTGATCTCATTATTAACCGTCATAATGGAAACTAGTGCTGTGTTCGGGCAGATCTCCTTCTCCAAATGCTCCGAATTGATCAAACTGCTGTTCTCAACGGAAAGATGCGTGACACTGTACCCCTCATGCAAATGTCAGCACAAATCCAACACACGCTTGTCCCCTGTCTGCAATGCGATGATATACTTCTTAGACTTGTAAAACCTCGCCAGATACTTGATCGACATATCATTCGACCCCACGGCTCCAGAGGTGAATGTGATCTCCTTTGGATGGGCTCCGTTGAGCTTTGAAATATGCTCACGTGCAATATCGATCACCTTCTTTGTTTCCCAGCCATAGGCATGTGTGCGTGAATGAGGATTTCCATAGAGACCGGTACAAATAGAAAGTATACCATCGAGCACGCAAGGGTCAGTAGGAGTTGCAGCTTGCATGTCAAGATAGATTGGTTGCGATCCCTGGGCCATTATTGTGGTTTGCTCGAGAGTACCTATTCGCCAGGGACGTTAGTTCCCCAATCGCTGCATGAGAAATACAAAACGGAAGGGAAAAGGTGACCCACTGGTAGAAGGGGACATCATCACGTCCACCATTAGACCATTCCCAACACTAACCTCTGCGGGCTTGAGTCTAGTTTTATTCATAAAATCACTGGCATCAACTCGTCGATTCTCAACATCCACTTTTACAGCTGCCTCCCCATCCTTCCCGCTTGAAGATATGAATGTGCGGTGCAGTTGTGCTGTCAATCCCTTCTGTAGGGTTGCGGCAGGGCTGTGTAAAGCACGAGAAAAGCTCGCAACGTATCGAACAACCTTGGTGACCATCACCATGACGCAAGAGTTAAAAGATTGTAAAAACCTCCTGCAGGGATGTGGCTATCAGATGGCAGAGGCGGAAAGGTAGATGTCTGGGAAGAGTTAAAAATTTCGGGTGTGAGGATGTTTGGAGCTCAGGAGGTGGGGGCGAAAATAATTTATTCTGAATGGTTGGATGGGTGGGGGCTCATAAAAATACCAGGTGAATGAAACGGGGTGAAAGGCCTTAGCAACGACTTTTTTTTGCTTGGAGGAGAGATGCTGTGCAACAGGCTCGAAACCCGGAACTGTGCAAAGTGTAAATGTTCAGCTGGAATCCAGTAAGTTACCAGTGTTCAGCAATGAGGAGATTAGAAAAGAATTATGATATGAGTCCAGGGCAGTCACCGGTGACACGATAATTTTCCAGAAGGGTGGAAGCTTCACGCAAGTGCTCCCGATCAGTTGGTCCTTACAAAGCAAGATACGGATAGGCACCCAGGAATATTTTTTCCTACAAGACAGGGATTATTCCGCGAGTTAACCCAAACCAACCGTGCAAAAACTAGGTTCCCGGGTGCCTGTATCATACCTGGATGGTGGAGAAAAGTCACAATAAAAATCTCACCACGGTTGTTTACAAGTGAGCGTAAACAGGTGCGGTGGGTTATGCATGGGAGTAGGACTTGGCGTGGCACCCAGTTTCGTAGTGCAGTTGTATTCTACACCACGTTACGAGTGACAAACATCCACTATTCGTGCGGGCTGGGCTGCACACCCCCCCTCCCAGGACTGGTGCTGTACTTTTTCTCACCCCCGGAAATCCAGTACGTTCCCCAGACCCGAAAGGCAATCTCGTAAGTTAGAGCCCAACAGAAAGTATAGACGAGATCCGAACCTTGGTGTTAGAGGCACTAGAGCAGGTTGAGAAAAATTACAGTGGACCATTCCTACTGCCTAGAATAACATTAAGGCCGGGAAGGGGTTCGGAAGCTGACGGATAGTCCTCCATTCATCACATTCATTCAGCAATGGATTCGGATGCCCTACGGGAGGGGAAAGTATCTATTACCAGCACCACCCCTTCCCTGCGTTGATAACTATATTCATCAAGATCATAAAACATCACTCGATAAACACCTGTTGTCAAAGCCACATATCGCAAAGACCCTGGGCCGGCTCTGGCTGGGTGGACGACAGTGGGCTCGTGTCGACCAAGCGCAGGAATATATGGAAAACCTGTCAAATTTAATAATATTATAGAATACTCCAAAGGAGAGAACCAGCGGAAGATTGCCAAAGTCACCATCTCCAGCCGTCCCCACCGTCGACAGCACTCGCTCACGCACTCCCCCTGAGCACTAGTACCACCAACACCCCGGCATACGCCCCCCCGTTCTCACAACTGCTGGGCAGGTGATGGAAGAGGTTAGTGGATTCGGGAATGGTGGGGTGGTGGTACCCTCACCAACAATCACTCGACCTTTTCGAATAATATCACCAATAGTTGCTGCGGATAACGCTTTTTGGAGCTAGGTAAATAATTTACAAAAGTGAGAAACCCCATATATACACCTAACTAACCGGCGGCCTACGCTCTAGATATGAAAATATGGTTACATTGCGAGTGCAAAACTGCGATTGCACCCCCCCCCCTCTTAGCCTCCTACTCCTTTTTCCGTGTTTGCACCCCCGGCTGCATCATTCCCGTCCTCCCTCTACACATCCTAATCGTTTCTTCGAGAATCTCCCCGGTCCCATTCCCCGGTCCCATTCCCCGCCATTGCCTTCTCCTGCAGCCCCCTTTCCTTCTTCTCCTTGTGCGCCCTAACCACTTCGAGATTCCTCTCCCACCCCTCTTCCTCTAAAGCCTTGCGGCCTTCTTAGCCTCTAGGAAGGTGGTCGTCTCACCTTTGACGATAACTCTCACCCCATCACTGTGGGGGTCCTTGATACCGACAAACTTTGACATAGTCTTCCTGCTGCCGACACCAATCTTTGTCTCGGCTTGTGCGAGCTTGCGCTCCAAGCGCCCAGAGATCACCCCACCTGCTATTCTTCGCCTCTCTGTACTCCAATTTCCCGAGGCTCTCGGGGCCAACCCAGTGTTCGATGGAGCCCGTCGGAGCGCATAAGTCGAGTAAAATCTGGGAGTCGCGTTTGAGATGTGGGAGTATGATGCGCGGGAGGGTTAAACTGTAATTGCCGAGTTATTGCATTGCGAACGGGTTCTGAATTGGCGCATCGGGTTCGCTGTCGAAGGGGGTTATGCCAAAGTCGTCTATTTTTGGGTTAATCTTGTTCTTCGTATCAGTGCGGTGGTCGATGCCACGACGGAAGGCGACATATGAGTACTCGAGATCTTCATAGGGGCTGTTTTTTTTTCTAGATGACTCATCCATAAGTCTCTGCAGATAGCTAGGGTGCTCATAGCGCTGCGAGAAGCAGCAGTAGTCTTTGCGGTTGGTGCCATCTGTGGGGCCAGAGGGGAACATGGGGCATTGTTCATGATTCTTGCAAGCGGGGGCGACTACAGCGCCGGGCTCCTTTCAGATAGAGGGGTTAGCGAAGCCACCGGCATTCTTGCAAGTGGGGGGGATTGAAAAGCCTCGCCAACGTCCTTGATGCAGTCCTCTAGGATGGTGGAGCGGGCGTAGGCGAAACCCTCGAAGCCCATTGGCATGCCTATTTCGATGATTGAAAGGACGCGGCCGTTCGAATTTAGGTGAGACCAGAGTTGTTCAATGGTTTGGCAGCGGAAAAACGACTTCCCTATGGGGAGGATTCTTTTTGTAGCAATGACCAGATCGTAGGGTTCTCTCGGCTAAGTCTTATTCTTCTCCACTAGGCCAGCGTATAGTGCAAGTTTCCAAAATAGATATCCGGTACTCGAGGAATAAACAGAGTATCGTCCAAGAGCCTCGACGACCACTGCCCGCAATCCACTCCTCTCCCTCACCACCCGCAGAGCCTTCCTACCGGGGCCAGATGGCGGCTTCCCGGTTCTCTCCGGAGGCTCATCCTTCCTTCTCTCCTCTTCCGCTTCGACAATACTCTGCCAAGCAAGTACCCGAGCGCCCCTGCCCCCCACGTCGAGCACATTCTTAATGCCCTGCTCCCCCCCATCCCGGCCGAGCACCCAATCGCCGCCCAACCGTTTCCGATGCTCGGTCAACGAACTCAAGCACTGCGCGTACAGCCCCGGCATCACCGTAGTGAAAAACACGTCGGCATCGATACCCGACATTGGAATGTTAGTCGGGTTCAAGGGAATAGCCAGCTAGCACTTATTCCGCTTCTTCGAGTAGATGGGCGAGAATTGGAAGTGTGGACCGCCGAGAGCCCTATGCGTCGAGTATCTCCGGCCGTAAGGTTTAAGTCATCATTGCACTTGCCGACGTCGACAGGAATGCCCACGGACTGCGCACCATGGGAGCAGAAGAATACTGCGTTCTTTCGACCCAGTTTCTCGATCTCCTCCATCTGCTGCATGACCCCAATCTCGTTGTTGGCCGTCATAATTGGGATTGGTGCTGTGTCCGGGGGGGTCACCTTCTCCGAATGTTCCCGATTGATCAAACCGTTGTTCTTGATGGGGAGACACCTGTAATGATGCTCCTCGTCTTGCGAATGTTTGCACGAATCCAACACACACATGTGCTCCGTCTGCGATCTGATGATATGCTTGTTAGGCTTGTAAATCATTACCACACACTTGATCAAAAAATTGTTTGACTCTGTGGCTTCAGCGGTGATTATGATCTCCTTCAGATGGGCTCCAATGAGCTTTGCACACTGCTGACGTGCAACATCAATCGCCTTCGTTGTTTCCCAGTCATAGGTGTGTGTACATGAATGGGGATTTCCGTATACACCGGGATAAACTGAAAGTATAGCATCGAGCACGCGAGGGACCTTAGAAGTTGTAGCTTGCATGTCAAGACAGATTGGTCGAGATCCCGCATCTATTATTGTGGTTTGCTTGAGAATACCTATTTGCCATTGCCGTTAGTTTCCCAACCGTCCCCGGAGAAATACGAAACGGAAGGCAGAGAGTGAGGTACGGGTAGAAGGGGACATCATCATACCTGCCGTCAGACTATTCCTAACCTCCTTCCCACTTGAAGATACAAATCTGCGGTACAGCTGGGCTGTCAATCCCCTCTGTGGCATTAGGGCGGGGCTGGGTGAAGCGCGGGGGAGGCTCGCGGTGCGTTGAACAAACTTGGCGGCCATCATCATGGGGTAAGAGTTAAAAAATTGTGGAATGTCCTGCAGGGATGTACCTCTCAGATGGCAGCAGTGGAAAGGTAGTCTAAATGTCAGAGGAAGAGTTGAAAATTGGGGGGCGGCGGTGTAGATTTTTTGAGGTATGGCGGCGTTGGGGGGGCAAAAAAAAGGTTTGGATGGATGGCAGTATCACAGTAGTCTAACACCATGTGAATGAAGCAGGGTGGCAGGTCTTGGCAACGACTTTTTTGCTTGGGTGGAGAGATGCTGTGTGACAGCTTCGTTTTTTTGGAACTGGGGAAGTGTGAATGTTCAGCTGGAATCCAGTATCAGTATTCCGTGATGTGGAGATCTAGAAAATAATTATAATCCGCGGGACATGTTGTAGAGGGGTAAAATTATGAGAAACCCTTGTAAGGAGATCTCGGAAAATTTGGAGCGAGACAGGCGGTACTTGTAGGATACCGCAACCTGCTCTACTGTAAGTCACCGGAAATCAAGTTACCCGACTACCATTAACCCGGTGTGCCTCGCCTGCTTCAATGCCCTACGATAGGCGGGTGCTCATGGAATATCCTAATGCGGTTTCATGGTGTAGTTGGTATCTACACCATGTTGGATGTGGAAAAAATACCACTTGCCCTCCACTAAACCCGATCGGGTGAACCTTTGTTGGGGCTGGGTGGGGCACCCTGCCTGCCAGTCCAAAACCCCGATTTAGCAGAGTAGGTTAATAAAATTGCAAATACCAGTTGACAAGACTTACCAAGTTCAGCCTGCCCCAGCTATAACTCGTTGAAAAAATGCTATTCCTTCATAGGGTGTTTCTATTGTCTCCGATCAATGATGGTGGATTAGAGAGTTTATGCCGCCAGACCTATGTGGCAGTTACCACAAAAAGGACCTAGATGCTGGAAAGAGTTTTCGCATAGAATCCAGGTGACTTGGCGGCTGGGTTACAATAGCTGAGTACAATGTGAGGTGTCGATAGCTGGAGCGGAGAATGTGGAATCAATATTATTACATGACTATCATATTTTTCCTATTTTTTATTTCTCTGGCAGCTTCTTTGCATTTAGCTTCGCTTGGTATCCATAGAAATATGTTGGCGTTGTATATTTTTCATGTTCTCTAGAAACTTATTCTAGGTCTTTAAAACTGCCTTTTAGGCCTCGACCAGGTGCGATTGGGCACCCAGGTCTCTAAGCCTTTTAGGATAACATATATTAATGAAATTTACCGCCACCTAGGTCTGCATGCGCAAACTCTCTATTTAATAAAAAATTATGGCAAGCACGATTTCCTGTTTAGGTGTGGCTTAAGTCATACACAGTCAGCAAAAATGTCGGCAAAAATTTAGTCTGAAGCAGGGTAACCATCACTCAACAAAGCTCAATTTAAACATTCTTTTCTGTCGGTTCTGGCCTCAACCTGTACTTTACATTCTACTGGCAGAACACAGCTTTACTTGTGTTAAGACGTCTCAAAATGCTACTCCTCAGATGTCATTCCCCTTCCAGCTTGCGTTTCTCATTCACCACCCAGCGGATGGTAATGGTTAATCACATGTTTGCCTCAACTCTTGTAAGTTATCTGCAGCATTGGGAATCTGTCAATTTACTAATATGATATTGTGACTAAGGGCAACAACGGTACTACCCCTACTACAAACCAGTCAGAGACAACCGAGACCAAGTCCACCAAGACCAAGACAACCGAGACAACCTCCAACGGATCCAGGACAAAGGCAAGAGCGCCGCACCAACCAGAAACCGTACTAACACTTCTTCTAAAGGATTTGACCACTCTGGATAAGAAGGTTGATGACAGGTTTCGCCGTCAAGATAATTGGACAAAGTTTATTATGGCTATAGTTATTTTTACTATATGTTTTGTCTGCAAAAGGGTTATCTAATTGTCTTTTACTGACCTATCCGCTAGGTTGTTCTTAAATTTGCATACACCGATAATGAATTTGAGAGAAAAATGCAAGGAAACATCCACAAACTTGAAAATAGGGTGCAGGGGAACATCCACAAACTTGAAAAAAGGATGCAGAGGAACATCCACGAACTTGAACAAAGGATGCAGGAGAACATCAAGCAGGCAGTTTCGAGCTCAGAGTCTCGGATTTTGTTAGAGCTCGCGAGAATGGAGATGCGATTGATGAAGCCTGAGCCCCAGGCTGAGGCAGGCGCTAAGAAAAAATGATTTGCTTTCCCTTTGTGTTTGTTTTTAATATAGGGGCGGGTGGGTAGGCGAAATAGGGGGAGGGGCAATGCTAATGGAGGGGTGGGTGGGGGGGCAAAAAAAGAAAAAATTAGTATCACAAAATCAACTACTGTAAAATCTCGTGAAATCCAATATCTCCGGCTGCCCCTTATCCCCGGATTCTAAGTTAAAATCCCTTAAGAAGGATTAGTGTTTTCCTGATATGGTATAGCCTAACTCATCTGGCTTTGTTGGATCTCGTTAATCTTGCAAGCTTAATATCTTGAATTTAGCTAAACTACAGTAATATCAATGAATCTACACTATCGTGCTTAAATCCACAAGCTAAACCTATTGTGAGCTGTTGTCGTGATTTACATCCAGTTTTGTCACAGGTGTTAGGGGGTAGGTAACTCTGAGGTCAAGCGAGTATACACTAGGCCCTGTATTCTTCTGTCTCAGAGGTAGTCAAGAAGGCTCGTAAGGATAGAAGTAAAGTAGAACGAATATATTGATAAGATCTCTTCTCCGGTCGCTAATGATACTAAAAAGCTCGGGAGGCACCTCGATATTTATATCCCGCGTCTGGGTGGTCGCAGACTACTTCTAATCCCTTACTGACTATGTACCTGCCATACTAACAATTCAGTGTTCTTGGAGTGCAAACTCCATTTGACCCTGAAAACTAACTTCCCCGCTCTCTTCCTTAAGTGGAGTGATCAGCTCCATCAAAGGACTTATCAATGACTCTTCTAGGTGCATAGCTTAGAGTGCATGACAAAGATAACTGACTCACCTAGTGAGTTGTTATTAACCAATCGTAAGCTAGTCTCCAGATGACCCTAGTTTACGCGAGCAGAGGATGGTGCGGCTACTTCTCAGAATAGCACACCAAGACTTCCAGAGGCCGTAGCTTAATAACTAATCGACCAATCTGGTTCAACTAAGTCTTATCTTGTAGAGCGGAGCTCCTTCTATGTTATTCAGCGAAAACCCCTTGGTCGCATGCCTCGCATCTCCGCAGAGCGGGCTGCATAGATGCCTTATCGTTTCATACGATAATATGATATTGTCACGATAACTACGGCTGGGCCCGGAGTTGAACATGTGACCTTATGCATTTAGTCACGTGCCGCACCAATTGCGCTGTCTAAGTATAACAACAGGCCTGTGACGAATATCCTGGTAAGTTGAGGCATCAGCCCAGATAGGTTTAGCTTAGCGAGTTAACCAAGTTCCAAAACCAAGTTAATGAGATCCAACAAAGCAAAGTGGCTTGCCCTATACCATGTCGGGAGACTGCTAATCCTTCCTAAAAAATCCAACCCAGAAGCCGGAGATCACAGGGATAACAGAGATTGCGGATTTCAAGAGTTTTTACGGTATGATAAACCCTGTTCTACCATATACTAGCTGATCTTGGACCACCCATATACTCAAGTACGATAAACCTATCAGCCGCTGGTGGTAACCGTGCCAAGGTTGTCACTCTGCCACAACCCTGTCACAGTTATGATCATCATGAAAAACGAATTAGCTTTTAACACTCTTATATCTTTGCACAAAATGCTGTGCCATGGTGACGAAATATTCGGGTTGCGGTGGCACTGTTATTTCTTAGCTCATACTTTATATACGGACGTTGACTTTACTTTGTATTTGATTTCGTGGTGTAGTTGGTTATGCACCACATCACTGTCGGCAAAATAGCCTTCTCCCCTACTACACCCCAGTTGGCAAATCCCAAGCCCGCCAACTTTTCCCTTCCTACCGGTCTCCTCCCTGTGGGGCTACTGGTATATGTAC